TGGATGTCCTAATATATTTACTATTGTCCTAATATATTTACTATTATCATAAAAATTTTTCCCCCCTCCCCCTCTGAACAGTAGAAATTTCCTCTGTGGGGGAGTGTGGATATTTTCTGGAACAACCTATTTGAGAAATGCTTTTGCACAAATTTTCTCACAATTTTCTTGTATGTCAGAACACTGTTCTAAGTTGCAACTAAAATTCAGAGGTCTAAAAGGCTCAAGTCAATTCCAGTGGTGTAACCAGAGGGGGTGGGGGGTCAAAATATTTTAAATGTTCTGAACTTGTTTGTAATTAATTAGAGTTGAACATGTTTTAACTGCAAGGTTATTTCAAATCACCAAAACACATTAAAATAGCCCCCCAAAATGGCACTTTATTAACTAGAATTTAAAAAGTTTACATTGTACTATATTATACATGGATAGCTTGGGAGTCCAAATATATTTTTACATACTAACAAACTTTATTCAAACTAGTGCAGGCCCCTCCTGGGGATTTCAGTCCCCCTTGAAGGCCTTAATTAGAAATTCTGGCTACATCACTGCTCAATTCCATTGTCAATGATGGTGTTAGCATGATTAGACAGAGTAGGTTAACAAACTAGTGTGTATTATGAGATAATCCATTGAACACCAATGATCTATCCCAACATATAAAATCATGTGGTGGATCCAGCAAAGTTTTTTTGGGGGGTGCTAACCAATGGCGAAACGAGCGCCAAAGGCGCGAGATTTCTAGGGTGGTCCGGGGGCATACTACCATGGAAAATTTTTAAAATTTGGGTCTCTGAAATGCATTTCCAGCATTCTGAGAAAACATTCTGGAAAATTTTTAGATTCTCAAAACATTTAAAAATTTAGAAATTTAATATTGGCTATTCCACTATTGTCAACTAGTGATATGCAACTGAATTCCTTAACATAAGTTGGTTAGAATTAGGATAAACATCATTTTTGCACCCCCCCCCCCCATGCACCCCTGTTGACCAGAGCCTGGGGGGGGGTGCACACCAGAGTAAAATAAAAAGTAAGACACAATGTATAACTTAATAGGTAAGGTTAATGGCCAGAACTAAATGATAAACAATATTTTATAATAAACCCAAATTAGTTCAGCACCATTGGTTCTTATAACATTGTTCATTCCAATACTAGAACATCAGCAATTAACAAAAGTTGGAGTTTCATCCGATGACATGTATGCTTCTAACCAATGTAACCATGCTGTCCATGCAGCTATCTGACAGTTTTTAATTAATTTTCAACATTGATTCCCAAAGCCATTATTCTCAAGATTTGCCAAAAAGGTTTTCCAAATAAGTACAGAATTATATTACATCACTCATCACTGTTCATTTTACATTCTTCAAGTAGATGCATGTTTACAGGACAGTATATCTTGTGCATTTATAATTAAATCTTGCAATATCTTGTTCAAAACCCTCAAATCCAAGATAATCGGCAGCCAGCCATGTTACCAGTAAGATTTCTAGTCTGTTAATTTTGAAATGACCAATGTTGTACTCGAATATAAATATTTATACTTTAATTATTGAATAGCCCCTGTATATCGCTGACAAGGTATGCTGTGTTGTCGCGATATAAGATGTTCTTTTGCTTGCCAAAGGGCTAATTTTACGCATAATTGTATCTCTAAATTGATCATTCCTGACTTTAAATTCCAAAAGCCACGCGCGAGAAGCAGTTTAAGACGTCTTTACAAGTCCAAATATATCATAAATTGCAACAAATAATCCATTCTCAATCCTTGCGTAAAAATATGCCCAGTCAGCGTTTTTAGCTGGAGCTACTGTTTACTTCCGCTTCCGGGGGCACCACTGTTCTATGGTGTTCCGGTTTGGATTATCCCAGGGCTTCTGAGAGCAATAAGCGCAGAAGCCCTGGGTACGAGGTTGAGTATGATCCTGATAGTTAGAAAATGTTATTAAACGAATAATCTTTTTTTGTAGGATAGCTAATGGATTCACTGTTGTATTGTACGTGTTACCCCAAGCAACTAGAGCGTGTGTAAGAAATGGATAGATAAGTGAATAATATAAATTAATAAGAATATCCAAGGTCACAAAATTACGTATTTTTGAGATAGCTCCAATATTGCGCTTTATCTTTTTCGAGATTTCTAAAACCTGAGCTTTAAAGTTTAGGTTACCATCTATCACTACACCCAAATATTTGAAATTAGATGTTTGCTTCAATAATTTATTGTTAATCGTTAATTGGATACTAGAAGAAATTTTTTTCTGAGCAGGGTGAAATATAACAAAGTTTGTCTTATCGATGTTAAGCGACAATTTGTTAACACAGAGCCATTTATTTATATGCTCAAGTTGACTATTTATAGTAGATTCAAGAATTGGTAGGCTTTTATTATCAAAGAATAAGCTTGAATCGTCAGCAAAAAGAAAAAAGTCAAGAATTCTGGAGGAATTACAAAAATCATTTATATAGATTAGAAATAAAAGTGGGCCAAGGACAGAACCTTGGGGTACACCACATGTAATAGGCATTAAAGATGATCTAACATTGCCAATTGTCACAAACTGATGCATGCATAGCACTAATTATATGCAGGCAAATGAGCTAAAATCACCGCTAATGAGCCCAAATCTGCATGCTGCATTCTATTACATGCAAAAACATACACATTTTCACATATTTTTGAATCGCATGCAAAAAACACCGAGCGATATTGCTCAAGATCTATTTTTTTACACTCGTGATATAGATTACTCTACACTATTTAAACAGCGTCCAAAGGCGTACCGGGCGGGGGGGGGGCGGGGGGAAGGCGGTAGCCCCCCAGTTTTTTGGGCAGTCGGGCAATATTCGATCAACAGTCGGGCAATTTTGGTTTGCAATAAAAAAAATTGGAAAAATTCTGTCAATTTTGTGTAAAATTAAGTAAATTTTTTTGGCAAATTTTGTGATTTTTCGAAAATTTGTGTTATGTTCCGAAAAATATTGGTTGTCCGGAAAATTTTTTTGACCCCTAAAATGGTACACTGACCGAAATTTTTTTGGCGACGGGGGGGGGGAGGTTGGCAAAATAATTTTTCCGGAAAAAATTTTTCGGTACTAGTCGGGCAGAATCCCGAAAAGTCGGGCAATTTTCTTTCCGCCCCCCTAATTTTTTCCTTCCGGTACGCCCATGACAGCGTCAAAGATCTCAAAACAAAATCGCTCGGCAGCAGTTTAACCATACGAGAGTGACATAAAATTAATTTCTTGAACACGACTTGACCGCTAGGAGAGATACCCGATCGGAATAAATATGCCTCCAAAACATTAGTATATGAATGCTTAATTGATCAAGAGGTCGGCAAACAGTATAGATAAGCTCTCAGATTGCAATGATTTTAAGTTAAGTATTTTCACCCTGTATATTCCCAGTAAAAACTGAAAGCCATTGTATGCGGACTATATGCAAATTAGTATACAAGCATGCAGTGGCCATTTTGTCGCCAATTTCTGGTACTGAACAATATTGCATTTTATCACTGCACATAATTAACAATTATTGGATGAGGTTTTTGTGATATGCGGAATTATCAAGGTCGAGGTAAGCGTTATCAGCCGAGCCGAAGGCGAGGCTGATAACGCTTACCGAGACCTTGATAATTTTGCATATCGCAAAAACCGAATTCAATAATTGTTTTATTATACATTTGAAAAATAATAAACATAGTATTTTAATATTTTAATTTTTTTGCGATATGCAAAATTATCAAGGTCTCGGTAAGCGTTATATTCAATATGATTTCTGGCACAGCTGTTCAAGTAAAACGTTTCTATAAACAAGTCTCCGGAAGTTCAACAGTTAAATTAATTACAAATATAGAAGAAACATATTATCGTTAAGATGTTAACGTATTAAAATGTTTACTTGTTAAAGTAAACATTACAATTATGAAATGTACATTCATTTGAAAATTGAAATGTACACTCATTTGAAATGTACACTCATTCAACCTCACGCAACCTACACAAAATTCAGTTATCTGCTAGCAGATAACTAAGTTATCTGCTAGCAGATAACTGAATTTTGTGTAGGTTGCGTGATTGCGCGATTTAACTGTAAGCTCTTAGCCAATCAAATTGCTTTTACCAACTACAATGTATAATAATCTAATTTATCACTGCACAAATCTCACTTATCACTGCACAAATTGGTTATCACTGCACCTTAGAATAATCCCTGTGCTACGCCACTGATTATTGCTTCATTCTTAAAAAAACATTGCGCGAATTAAATAACTACAAACAGTATTTTAAGAACTAACGGCTAGGAAACCGTCTCCAACGGTTTGAAACACAAAACTACCTTGGACAATAATGAATTGCTACCCATGCAGATACGACGCCATCATGCATTTAGCATTATTGCATTGACCGAGTGAAGTGAGAGATTGGACACGAAAAGAACGGTCCGTAAAGCCATTTCACAGTTCGTACGGACCGTACCGACAGATCAACAAAATTTTCTGGCCTAACTTAAATTAAACACGACATCACCCGTTGACGTAATCTGAAGTTCAGGCCCTAATTTGAAATAGGGCCTGACACAAAACCTGTCTAGACCGTGGGACGCCCACATGTTATTTTTAGACACAACATGCAATATGATTGACAAGTGTTATAGATTTCGTTACACAAAAAAATTATATTCTCATGAACATGTCCGCAGAGTGTGCATTTTGCTTTATAATTAAACTTAAAAATGCAAGGTACTTTTATATAAATAAGATTCAGACAAAGATTTAATTAGTCAGTTCTGTGCACGGCTAGACTGCCAAGCTTTCTCAAGGTCTCAACTTGCTGGACGCGGATATTAGGGATATACTTTATTAAAACGGGCTAACAACAGCAACAATGAAATTCTCAATCGTACCACGAAGAAGGCGATGTAGCTCAGAAAACAACGCCGGTAGGACCTGATATTAAAAATAAGACTTTTGCCGGCGAAGCCAGTTGGCAAAACATCTTGGCTGTCAACAACAAGCTTTCGAATACATGACTAGTTTGGCTGTTCTTTCAGCGTCGTGTGTGTCCAAAATTCGTCAAAGATTTTGATAAAGCCCTTTCAAAATACTGTTTGTTTGATTTATTTTCTGCCATAAAGCATAAAAGAAAAAGAAATTCGAAGAAATCGATAATGGAATTTGTACGTGCGTTTGACCTTTATATTGAATTGTCGCCTTGACCGAGCTATTTTTAAAACTGTTGTTTATGTAAACTTGCAACCAATCAAAATCCTTCATGATGGTGATCAACCAATCAGATTTCCTGTCCACCAGGTGGACGGGAATCTCACACTTTAGATAGGTTTTGTGTCAGGCCCTATTCTGTGATTAGGATCGACAAACGTTTCTGCCCTGACTTACACACAACATGTCAACATTACCCATTGACGCTCTACGGATCGACAAAGTAGGTTTACGATCCGTAAATCATTTTCACGAACCGTACGGTTCCGTACGGTCCGTAAAGCCATTTCACAGTTCTTACGGACCGTACGGATTGTATTCAATTGTTGTACCATCTTCACAATCCGTATACTTTCGACAGTATTGGACAACCATCGGGCCTGGGAATGAGGTTGTTTAGATAGAGGATAAAAACCCAGTTGGAAGTCTTGTATGAGTTGTATCTGAAATTCAAAACGCGCGCATCCAGAACGAGTTATATTTTAAAAAAAAACTATCATACCTCTTGTTTATGGCTTCCTTCGTTTCGTTCACCTCTACCATGTTTTCAATCTCCACCTTCAATCCTTCTATTTTAATTCCAATCTGTGAAAATTCTTCCTGCAAGCGTTCTTTCATTCTTCCAGATTCATAATCTGCTAAGACTTCCAGAAATCTCTCGTCTGTAAAACAATGTAATAGAACATGCAAAGATCCTGGTCGGATACCTCGAACTTCTTGGTCATCTCGTTCACCACCAAGACCTCTTTTAACTGCAGTCTTGATTAGTGGTCTTACTAAATTATAACCAAGGTAGAGAGCACCCAGGGAGACTGCAGTGATGCACACGTCTCGTGCTACTTCCCTTACAGTTTTGCACACGTCTCGTACTACGTCTCGTGCGACTTGTACATTGTCAGTGGCGATGTTGATCGAAAAGTCACCGCTAAGAGGGTTCCACGCCACATTAGCACTCAGAGCCTTTCCAGCTTCCGACAACGATTCTGCCATAACAAAATTTGTTCTAGAAATAGAATAGAAATTGTTCAATCTATTGAAGTTTGTACAAGTGTTTCAGCGTCGGCGGTTGTCTAACGAACTACTGATAATTCATAAACTCTTCGGAGTTTAGTTGTCATAATTATATTGTAGCAAACGACAATTCTGGTTAAAACCATAACTCATAAGCGACACTTTGTTAAAACTTTTTTCTGTGACCTTTCTTTACTACTCGTCTGCAATAATTTGCTAGTTTTCTCGGGAATTACGATTGTTATACTTTAAAGTTCGGTATCCCGATGTCTTATAGAAGGATAAGTAAAGAGTACCTTTAATAAATAACGCGCTTCCATTGATTACACGAGTTACATTTGGTTGAACATAGCTGCTGTTTTGGGCTATATAGGAATTTCTGCAAGAAAATATATAGATATTTTAAAACCGTAAATATGTATTTTGCTTTTGTTAACTGAGCCGAACGATGTATAAAACTCCCCCAAACTCCATGAGACTATACTATATTATTCATTTCTATAATGCTTGATATATATTCAATATTGTAAAAATCCAATGTCTAATTATAGTCGCTGGCACACCTGTTTCCGCGACTTCAAGGATGCCCTTTGGGTTTTCTCCAATTTCCGTTAGCCACCCGGCCATAGATCATGGGCGCTAGTTTCGGCCAATTAGAGACAAGTATTATTTGTAGTTTACGTTATCTCTCATTGCTCGAAATTAGGTAGCTGAGCTGAATTGAGCCAACTCGCAAACGTAACCGGCAGCCGATCAAATACCGACTAGATTCTTATAACTTATCACCAAAATTATACCTCAAAGAAAGCATTTTTACTTTTATTAACTAATTTGAATATAGCGAATATTGATCGGTTATCAGTTTATGCTTTAATAGAAATGTTGGGGTAATTAGACTATGACGTACGCTTGGTGATACAAAGTTTTTTACAGTATTTGAATGTCTTTGATTTAGTATTTGAATGTCTTTTGGTAATTCTTCGTCCCACATGGCTACCAAAATGTATTTCTCGATTAGCCATCCGAAGATGCAGAACATTTCTGCGATTACTTCTACCACTGTTACGACAGACTATAATCTTTGGACGTTTTAGTACCTCATTTATCCCAGCAAGTGATTTTAACCCTATTGGCAATGGGTTCTGTTCTATTGCTATAACCAGGCATATTAAACTTAAATAAATTATAAAGAATCGAACAAGGGGATCAAACACTCCGGCAACGTCAGATCGCAACTGTCGTCTTATAGATTCCAAAGTCCATGTACCCAGGGCGGTTATAAGATATCTTATAACCGCCCTGATGTACCTAAGAACAATTTTACAAGGAAAGTGAAGGTTGGATCATTACAAGCGTTTGAAGAATCTGTTTTTTCTGAGAATCATGTAGATAACAAGGTCGATACATATTCTTAAAATACACGACGAGGACAATGCAAACCTTTTTAACTTGAAAAATTAAAAGACTGATTGGTAAGCAAAACAAACTGTACAAGAGACATTTGAGAGACATAGACCAGATCTTTCCATTGATACAGATATTCGGGTCTGACCGGTCAGGCCATTAAATGGAAAGCACCCTTAGAAAACCAAACTGCATGTATCGGAGACTTGCTTGGCAAAAAGGAAGTTCTACGAAGATAAAATTCACCCAACTTATCGTCAAAATCCTAAGGTGTGGTGGAAGAACATGTATATATGACAAGTACCATATCGTTACTTGACCCCGATACGGAACTATACCCCTGGACGATAAGCAGACTGCTGATCACATAAATACATTTTTTCTCAAACCTTACAAGGGATTTCTCGGAAGTAGGAGTGAATGGGCTGAATTAAAAGGGTTGCCAAAAGGCTAAGAGGTCTTAATAACGGGACGCAGCTTTCCATGAACCACATATGAAAATGATCAAGATTCCCAATGTTTGGAAATTTTATCCAGTGTACGGGGATTTCAAAGGTTACCCTAAGCTACCCTAACTGTTGAAGACTTGCTTCCAATATCTGTCACAAGCATTCTATCAAAGGTATAGGAGTCATACGTTGTTGAGTGCGTGTACGACGACATAAAAGAAAAAGTAAATGAAGTGCAGTTTGGAGGATTGTCAGACCATAACCTATCGAAGGGAAGATGGCTGTGAAACTCATTAAAATAACTGCAATATAACTCATCATCTATGTTGGTCAATGTTTATTCATAAATGTGGACGTCCTTCACCGTCACGTGTATATTGTATTTTTGCCCAACCAACCAATAGGAATGTTTTAGGAAAGTCAATTGCTATTGGTGGATTTGGTAAAAATACAATACACACGTGACGGTGAGAGGACCAGAATTATGAATAAACGTTGACTAACATAGATAATGAGTTATATTGTTATTCTAATGAGTTTCACAGCCATCTTCTCTTGGTCAGACTGAACTGAAAAATTAGCTAAATATAGTCAAGCCAGTCACGAAAGAGGAAAATATCATGTATAGTTTAATTATAAAACTTCATATCCGCAGATAAATTTCCAAAGTGTTATTCCCTTAGATAGATAAGTATATTTAACCTTTTTATTCTACAATATTTGCCAATGTACAGTAATAGTCCTGCATGCATGTCCATCACATTTGCCAGTACACTACACATGACTTGAAGTCATGTGTAGTGTACTGGCAAATGTGATGGACATGCAGGACTATTACTGTACATTGGCAAATATTGTAGACTTCTACATTCTTTCTGTACATAGCCTGACATACCAATTCATGGAAATTGGATTGTTTGTAAGGGGTAACTTTACACATAACTTAGCCTAGTATGATACCCTGCAATTATTGACGGTTTTTAACGCCTAGCGTATTTTTAGGAGAGGGCACTTCTTTTGAAGGTTTAGCTGGGGATACCTCGTTCATCAGATCAAAGATCGATTTGTTAAAGAGCGTTTAATTAGCATTTCCGTTCAATTTGTCATGCTTTACGAGCTCTGTCTTACAAACTAATTTTTTCAAAATATGTGTGGAGAAGGGGGGAAAGGCAGGCAGAGGAATCGTATACATAATACCGCAGAGTACATAGAGGGTCCTGAAGGGGTAAAATGGGAACTGGGATTTGCTTTTTTGGGGGTGGGAAAATGGGATTTTGTGCACTGGGACTGGGATTTATCAGCAAAAAAAACAATAGAAAATGGGAATGGGATTAAGATTTGAGCAGGACAGCCACTGAGATGATGGGATTTGTACTCTGGGACAATGCCATTTAGTCAAAATTTGGGCTGGGAAATGGGAATACGACCCCCCCCCCCCTTCAGGACCCTCTACATATACAGCCGAAATCCGACTCCTTGTTGGAGCCTTTGATGTTGGTGCAACTGCCGCCTTGTTCCCATATGAGATACCTATGCTTGTTCACTAGCCAGTGCATGTACTGGAGAAGCAAACATCCTCCAGAAAATATTAATCAAAGGTCTCAATGAGACAACTCACGGATCACATCGTGTAATATTAGTATAGGGGAAAATGTGATTTCAGTAAGTTGGAAAAAGAGACTGAGAACATGTCGATGTTTCTCTATATATTCCAGGTAGTTTATCTGACGTTAAGTCTCAATTTTGGTCTCAATCTTTAAATGGTGTACCAAATTCTGATTACCAAAATCTGATTACGAAAATATAGCGAATAGCAGCATAAGTAAAATAGATAATATAAATATAATATAAAATAATCAATATAAAATTGTCAATTTAAAATAGTCAATATTAAAATCCGGCTGAAATAACTTATATGTATTATATAACTTATTACTTATATTAATTAGTCGCCAGTTGGTCGGTATGCCGGGATTAAAATGGCTTTACCGAGTAAAAACTTCAAAATAAAATACTATCAAAATAAGGAGAAAAGTGAGACGAATCCACTAGTATACGGCCGAAAAAGCGAAAACCAACGATACCAAAGTTATCAAGGATCAAATGTACTGTAGTACTATAAATTAGTTTGATTAATTTTGTAAGCGATTTATTGTCAACAATACAATTTCGCTTATTAAAACTGCGCTTTAACACCTTCAAAATAAAATATTTTGGACTCAAAATACTATCAAAATAAAGAAAAAGTGAGGCAAATCCACTGGTATACGGCCGAAAACGAGGAAATCAACGATACCAAAGTTAATAGCAAGGATCAAACGTACTGCATTTTTAACAAGACGCTCTGTGGAGCGTTAACTCGCTGGGGCTACACAACTGACGCACATTACTGTTAAGATCTAAAGGCTGATTTCCACTGGCACTGTTGCGTTTTTCGTACGCACGTAGAGGGGGCAGGGGAGTCTCGTCACGAAATCACGAAGATCATTTTTAGATTTCACGAGTCACGAAAAACAAAATTTCATTTTCACGAATTTTAGAAACACAGAAGCGCAACAAAGTCTGAAACCATTTAACGATTTTCGAGACAGCAGAAATCGTTGTTAACACAAACACATTTTACTGACTTTAACATTAGAGCTTTTAAAAGACTATCAATCATTGCGAGGCATTACGAAACATTACGAGCGTCTTACGATGGTTCACAACGTCTACGAAGAGGTACGAAGGTATAAGACAACAACGTTTACGACGAAACGAAGAAACCTTTAGAAAGACAACCGCGGGAAGCAAATTTTTCCTTTTTTTAAACCTTAATATTAAATTTGGGCAGAGTTTTAAACGTAGATCTTCACAAGTTAGGGTAAAATATTGATAAAGTAAAGACCCTGGCTAGCCCTTTTAGCTTTTCACAATTCACGGCACGCATATTAATCACGATTCACGGAATGGTATTTTTTCAAATCACGAAGCACGAATAATTGCTAATCACGAGCCACGAAAATACCCTTGCCCCCCCCCCCTCCACATACCAGTGGCGTGCTGGCAGGGGGGGGGCACGCCCCCCCCCCCAGCTGGCAATTCTTGGGGGGCGCAGAAATAAAAAGGGGGCGCCGATCCCGCGCC